CCCCAAAACCCCAAAACCCCAAAACCCCAAAACCCCAAAACCCCTTCTACCAAAATTAACCTTGATCTAAGGCAATTTAGCGACCTATGGTCCTAAATCTCGACTTATGGTTTACTTTTTCTTGCCTTTTCCCTTCTTATTATCGGCGGCTTCTTCTTCGGGGTCATAATTAGCGTCCTCTTCTAAAGTTCTGACTCATGCGCCATCGACTTTGACCCTCCTGAATTCTTCTTCATCTTGTTCGTTCTTGACGACTTTTCCTAAGGAATATACCATTTTTTCCGATAAGAACTCGGTGGCGTACTGGCCGATCTTGGTCTTGGCATATTTCCGATCACCGTTGACATCTTGGAGGTCAAGCACCTTTTCAGTATTAGCTTCTTCCCCCATTTGAGTGATGCTATCACTGATTAGGGCTAATTTTTGTTCCAGTTTTTGGATAGTTGTTTTTACCTCTTCCAGGCTTTTAGTGATAGCCTCTTTTTCCTTCTCTTCTTCATTCATTTGTTTGACTTCCTCCTCCTCGGGAGGGCTTTTAGGCGTCTTCTTTCCTTTCGCTGTCTTCTCTGCTTCTTCTTTCTTCTTCTGCTCTTCTTCTTCCTTTAGCTTCGCCTCTTCTGCCTCTTTTTGCTTTTTAGCTTCTTCCTCCTCGGCTTTCTTTTTGAGTTCTTCCTCTGTGGGTTTATTTCTTCTTAGGTTTATTCTTAATTGGGTGACCTGGTTTGGTTCTGACTTTTACCTGTTTCATTCCTCCTCTTTTAGCATTCTTATTTCCCTTCGCCGTAGGGGTTTCTTCAGGCTTGTCTTCATCAGTCTTAAGTTTTTTGAGTAGGTTAGTTTCCTTCTTTTTCCAGACATTGAGCTCCTTTGTGAATACTTCAGTCTGCTTATGCAAAAACGTGCCGATATCTTGGTAACAGCTGTCATTTATAGCGTCAAGCAAGCAGGAGGTCTGACAGTCGATGTTGAACAATCTCTTTTGCTTATGTCCGAATTCAACTCAGATGAACATTTGAATTTTTGTTTTATTTTATCAAATATATAATAATTTAAAGGGGTTTTGGGGTTTTGGGGTTTTGGGGTTTTGGGGTTTTGGGG